GGAGGAGGAGGAGGAAGAGGAGGAGGAGGAGGAAGAGGAGGAGGAGAAGGAGAAGGAGAAGGAGAAGGAGAAGGAGAAGGAGAAGGAGAAGAAGAAGAAGAAGAAGAAGAAGAAGAAGAAGAAGAAGAAGAAGAAGAAGAAGAAGAAGAAGAAGAAAACATAAACAAACTGAGCTGAAGGGATTTAATTTGGGCTGTTCTATGGTTCTATGGCAACTAGAACTCTTTGACAGAGACTTTATTGGGAACATTTGTAGATGGATGTTACAAGAACCTGTCAAGAGCTTTACATAGAGTAAAACTTTTCCTTGCCTGATAGGCAGGTAATTTTCTCATATTGAAATGTATTGTCACAGAAGGCAGGCAATTCTCTCATACTGAAATGTATTGACATACTAACTCAAAGATGGCATGCACAGGAATACAGTACCATATCAGCGAATCAGAGCATCTACTTAGGGATAAATTACTCAAGAAAAGCATTTCAATCAGCTAAAAAACAAATATATATTAATGCTTGGTGTTGAATAAATGAGTCAAACTTTATTGTTTCTTGGTCCATGTTTGATTTAGAATACAAGAGAATGAAGAGATAGATAAAAGCACAGAAATTAGAGTGTAAAATGTAAAAGCAAACTCCAGTTTGACCCATGATGGTACAGAATGGATTCAAATGATGAGCAATAAATTCTAAATTCCCAGTTATGGAGATTTTTTAAATGCTAATAGAAGACAAACTTTGTGGGTACATTAATAACTTTAAAACAGTGATATCAGTGTAAATTTATAAAAAATATTTTTTCAAGATTTTTATCATCTTACTTGGCCAGGTTAAGTAGTTAGCACAGAGTCTCACATATATTAGGCCCCATAAGATATTTATAAAATTAATAGTAAATAACTAAAATTTAACTACCAATGATTTTAGGATCTATATGATACTAGATAAACATAACAATATGTTCAATACTAAATAATGCTAATGTTAGTGTCCATAAAGAAATTAATTTTTGTCAAAGACAGTTGTCTCTAGTAGAAAACATGATCGTTTATAAAACATGTTTATCTCTAAATATATGCTCACTTAAAATTTAATAGGAAGCACAGACGCTAAATTTTATAAGTTACAGTACACTTGACCACATTCTGAAAGTTTTTTTTAAGCTGATGAATTCTGTGTGTTATAGTAGAATTAAGAATATCACTGAGGTAATTCTTGGAAAATTTCCCAAACATACAGAGGGGAGTACTGAAAGGACTTTTGGAATCTAAGGAATTAGTTTGAGAATCAGACAGTGTGTAATTAGAGTCAACATGTGCATGCAGTTCTGCTGACATCAATGGTTATTTTTCTGACTCAGAATAGCAAGATCTTATTTATTGAAATTTCCCAAATTTTTGCCAGGATATGAAAAGGAAAATTAAAGATTTAAAGATAGAAGATAGGGGGGTATAAAAAGACAGACATAAACACAGCAATTTTACCATGAAGTTTAAAAATGAACTCTTGTTTGACCTGTGCTTTGGAGTGGATTCAAGTGACAATGTGGAAGAACACGAGAATTTCTAAAAACTTCCTTTCTCCCATGGTTTTCTTAAGCACAATTTGGACACCCCCCCCCCCCCCGCCGCCAGCAACATTTGTCTACAGCTAAACCAAGCAGAGGTTTGACTGAGGCAGAAACGACATTGTCAGTGCCTAAGCTACTTCACAGATGTTTATGCCCACTGCTCTAATAAGGTTATTTTTCAACTCACTGTCTTGCCCTGGGCAAGTAGAAGCAGAATTAACCTGCTAGCAACCCGAGTTACCCATCCTAAACATGGTTCCGGTGCCACAGGCAGAAATATTGAGATGCTTCTTCAAATCTCATAAAAAAGAACCATAGCTTTATGGAAACTTTAAATGATTATAGTTTGAACGCACCGAGTTTCGAAGTAAACACATTGTGTATTTTTTTCCTGGATGGCAACACAAATTATCTCTAATGAGTAAGTATCAACTCACATATTTATGGGTATAAAAATTTACTTTTTTTGGTTTTACAGAGCATTAAGGAATGAATCGATCTCTTAGAATGATGAAGTATGAGTCTGGAGAGATGACTCAGAGGTTAGGAGCACTCACAACTCTTGGAGAGGACCTGCATTCAGAATGTTCCCAGAACCCGTATCATTTGGAACACAACTACCAGGAACTGACTCTAGTTTCTGGAGGTTCAGGACACTCTTCTGCCTGCTACAGGCACCACACACATATGTGCAGGCATTCACACATACACAGAAAATAAAAATAATATAAAATATAATGATTGTTTATCCTAGAATTTTAATATAGTATTAATTCATAAAGCATGGGTTTAAGAGCTACATAAAAGGATTCCTTCTCATGTGTTTGTTTTATTTGTTTGAATATCTCCATTTATCCCAGAAAGCATCTACCATGCTCAGACCTCCTGAGGTTTCTGTTAACTATCTTTATCAGAGATTTCTTGACCAGACATCAGTTCTCTCCTTGTATTTTAATAGTAAATTAGAGGTAAAGGGACAGATTGTCTCACTGAAAACACAGTCACTGTAAAAGTTGAGTTACATCTTCCATGGGTATAATATTCAGTGTATGAAAATTATCATGTATTGTGCGATGATGGTGAAGGGGAGTCAATGGCACCTGTGGCATCATAGTTTCCAGAGGGAGCATCACCGCCCAGCTTAGCACATGCCTCAGGAGCCGCAGGACCCCTCTGTGGGAGTGGGTAGTGTTCGCCAGGCAATAGAGTTAAGACTCTATTAGTGATTACATACATCTTCAACTTTTACACACACAAGCGTACACATACGAACGCACGCACGCACGCATGTGCACACACAGTGTGCATAAATACTCTCTGCAATTCACTTACTCATGCAACCATGGAAAATTATGTAAATTCTCTGAAGGCTAATCTGCAAATTTGCATAAAGATAGGGCCTCTGCAAAAGAGATATGGGTATGTTTGTTCAGTTAATATTTGTTTAGTTCGTGAGTTCATGGCAACTGGACATTTAATATTACTGTTAGTTACTGTTATCATTTATCTGACTCCTCCAAATCTTGTGAATATAAGATTTCCAGCTCTTAATAAAACCCCAGGGTATACTGCTGCTCAAACTACAGCTTCAATCTTTTCTCAAAATATCAAGTCCAATTAAACAGCCATTGGATCGAGTTGATGAATATAATTATTTCTATTCCAATAATCCTTCCTGTTGGTGTCTCAGTAGCTAGATAAATTAACCTAGTAACAATTTAATATCAATGTATTTTCAAAATTCTTATTAAACTTTACAAAAATACCCTGTAATTCCCTACTCATATTATCTTTACTTACAGAAATTAAATATTAATATCAAGACATAAAATTAAGTTGCCAGCCCATTTTGTTTACAAAAATGATTAGCTTTTGGCCCTTCAAAATTAATAAAATTTTGCCATGGTGTGTGGCCATCAATCAGGTCAATGCACCTGATCTCTAAAATATGATTTGCATTATATAATAAGCGTCACATACAATGAACATCTTCATATAATAAGCATCACAACATTAATGCTTCATGTGTTTGTTTTCATGCAGGTCAATGCAAAAGTGGTCATTTATACTTAAACTAAGCTCTCACACATTTAGGATACACTAAGAGTGAAGTCTCCTTCCAGATATAAGACTGGATGAGAGCTTTTCGAACTTTATAAAATTCTTAGAAAATTATCACTAATTTAGGAGAAAATATTTCTGTCATATTATCTAAATTTTCATATAAGAAAAGCAACCCCCAAACTTCTGTTTTCACTTATGTTGAGAAAAATGTCAAAGATTTTCCAACTAATTATAAGATTGGGAATTATGTTGGGGAATCCAGAGAGCTGGACAAATAACAGAGAAAGTTCAGGAAGATGACTCCTGGGAATTCAACTTTCATGAAGCAATACATGTACATGCATGGACACACAGGTGCTAATACATGTATGTACGCACACCCACATTTGAAAGAAAAAAATCCTATTTTGATCTTATCTAGATCCCTTATTATGTTACAATTAGTTAATATTTTCTTAGTTTTTATTAATGTGCATTTGTTGTATAAAATTGTGGACTTCTTTCTGACATTTTTATTCATATATATTATACATTTGATTATATTCACCCCCAGTTGCCTTTTTCTGATGTCTCTCATTTCCTGCTGTACTATTTCCTCTTTTCAACCTCCCCTTCTTTGACTGTAATATAGCATCATATCATCTATTGCACTTTCATGCATCTATCCAACAATTAGTCAGTCATCTGTAAACTTACTTGCCCATCCATATATGCATTCATCCATCCACCTTCCCATCTACCCATCCACCCATCCATGTAGGTTTTGCATGTGAGAGACAACACGCAGTCCTGTCCTTCTGAGTTTTTAATGTAATTTTCAGGAACACGCCTGCCTTAAACTCTTGTCTCTTGGGTATATGTATCTGGCACACAGAATGTTCCAGATTGTGACTTTCAAATGCCTGAAATGTATAGTTCCGCTGGTATGTTTTAAAACTCAGAATTGAATGTGGAAAATATCTTTTTTTTTGTTTTGCTTTTCTGCTTCTTTAAAGTGTATCTTCAAGGGGTGGACATGTATAATCAGGATCTGCTAGCTTCTACTTTCGGAGAGCCCAGCAGCATCTCCAACATTTCTGAGTATGTTAGCAACTGGACACTGTTCTAATTTACTGGTGAAAACACCTTTTAGAAATTAGTCTCAGAGAGTTTGCAGCTCCTTGAGATTCTTTCCACTTCGTATAGGATAAAATTACACATTGTGATTTTTATCTACATAGTATATGAAAATAGTGTTACATAAAACCAACACTTCAGTTCTTTGTAAGTAAATTTTGCTAATATAGAACACTGTCTGCAAAGCATTTTGACAGGATTCTGATGGGTTTAAAGACACAAATGGAGTAGAAAAGATGAGTTTACTTACCGGAGTCCTCAGTTCAGGAATGGCAGCTTGGTAGGTGAGTGGACGGCAGTCACGGGTGTTTGGCACAAGGACACAGGGCAGAAACATTGGTCCTAGGTCATCTCCATCTAGAATGTCCACCGTGAGGGTAGTGGTGGTTGTTCGCCTCTCATTCAGATTCTGGGCACGGTCCTGATGAGTGTAAAACAAACAATTAGATAACTAGATGATATAAATATCAGGTAAAATTTAGTTTTGTTAACTCTTTCTTCTTTGTTTCTTCTTGTTGTTCCGTCCCCTCCTCCTTTTTTTTCTTCTGTTTGTTTTTGAGGCAGGGTTTCTCTGTGTCCTGAAACTCGCTTTGTATACCAGGCTGGCCTCAAACTCACAGAGTTCTGCTGTGCCTTTGCCTCCAGAATACTGGTATTAAAGGTGTGTACCGCCATGTCTGGCTTCATAAGTCTTCTTAAAAGTAACTTAACAATGTGTGATTCTGACCTAAAATCTTTGTTACTGTAACATAAAACTTTTGAAATAGACTAACAGTATGTTACTTTCTTCAACCCACCTAAAGCTAAAATGGTATCAGATACAATCTGAGGTCTACAGCAGAGATCTTGCGCTTGACTGCAACCTGCAACTCCATGATTTCCTCACTAATTTGCTTGGTAAATGCCTTGATTTGTGCCATTGTGTTGTGACTATAAAAGCCCATGTGACCTTCGCTACAGTGGATTGTGACGTCAGAGAAGCCTGAATGGCTGCTTCCAGGTCACAGTCTGTCTTTTGTATATAGCTCAGAATAAATTATCTCCTATTCCTTTGTTACAAGAGCTGTGCTTTCTTCATTATTGGGACTAACACAGACTGCCATATATCCTAAATAGCATCTTTGTATTACTAACATGTTATAGTAGTATAAAAACTTGGATGTAAGGAAACATCTCTGGTGGTTTGGGTTTGCTCAGCAAGTCTGGATTTTATGGGTATATCCCTCTGCCTTTAGGTCTCTGATCTACTTGAACCTGCTGTAAAATCCAGATGGCCTAAAACAAAGGTCCATCCTTCCTCTTAGAACGTTTACTCTGGGAACCTTGCCATTTTAATCTCTTCTCTGCTCCTGTAGGATGTAAATCTTCCCCATAGCTCTCTAACCTAAGCTTACTCCCTTTCAATGGCCCAGGACTCATTCACTTGTAATGTTATGGTTAAGGAATTTGAGTTTTCTACTTAATATTCATGGAAACATGGGAATAAAACCTTCTAAAAGACTTGGTCTGAATTCTAAAATTTCTTATCGTCATAAGCACAAGAAAGTTTACTTTTCCCATGAAAAGGACCATTATTAAGTATATGATTTTTCAACTACACGCCTCAACCCTACACGTATGCCAACCACCCTCTAGTCCTTGTGATGTGGACATTTTTTCTCTTTTGCTGTATCAATATCCTTTAATAGACCACCCTGCACCTATTTTATTTTGCTTTGAAAATTCTATGCTACTAAGTAATATTAAAGTTTATGCTTTTTTCCCCAGTGGCTATTTAATATCCATTTTCTGCTACTATATCCACCAGGGCACTCTGCATTTAGTTATAATGTTTTTTTAACAAGTTCTCAGGTTTTTGTTGATCTTGGTAGTATTCAATACTAAGGTTATATATTTTTATACAATGTCTTTAAACGTAAACAATGGAATTTGGGAAGGAAAACTACAGAGGTAAAGTCACCCCTTTGTCACAGCATGCCAAGGGTGTATTCATTAATAAGATGATAACTTTCATTGTGTAGTTAAGGTTGCATTTGTCAGGTATTGTTCCCACATAAGGAATGGGAAATGGTGTTATCTACAATAATTGAAATCTACACTTTATTGAATGAATGTTTGTCAGGGTCACACAAGGAAGAAACATTGGATGAATCAGTTCCTCCTGCGGTATCCACTGATGATGGTGGTGGCACGATCCCTTTTGGAGCTATCCTGGAGAGCCACCCCTGTGTGCCCCATTCTTACATCAACATCTGGCCCGCTGGCAGCAAGGCACAAGTAACTGGGGAAAACAACACTGTCAACTGTGAGTGATGTGCAGGGGACAAGTCTCTGCATACATTTTTCCTAATTTCAGTAAGTTTATTTCACTCCCTGAGAGGAGAGGATGCAACGCAGCAGCTAAAAAGAAAAGCTCATTCATTATATGTCCTAATTTAGACTCTTGACTGCTCTCTTCTTCCTTAAAAATAAGATGTTTGCAAATTTTATTTTAAATTGGGATATTTAATTAACTTAGAAAACTGTAATTACTATGGACAGAAATGGTGCTTTAAAGTGTTTTATTTTTCTGAATTTAACTACTACTCTACAACCGGAATCATGTGTCATCCAAATTTGCATGAGACAGTTCTCATCACAGTGAAGCTGTATAAGTGGGTGGTCAAGGGGAACTGCTATCACAGGGTGGACTCTGGCACTGTAGGAACAGAAAACATACACAGAGAGGAGGAACTAGAGACCTCTAGTCCACAGGAAGACAAAGGGAAGGCAATGGGAACGCACAACCAGGAAACAGCTGTCTGTAATCAGGAAAGAGACCTCCCCACCCCTGAAACAAGCCCTGGCCAATTTTGACCTGGAGTTTTAGATTCCAAACTCCTGATAAAATAAATTTCTGTTGCATAAGGTACCCATTCTGTGGTAAGAGTGATGGAGTGTATCTGACATAGGTTGGACTATAGATCAAGGAACTAGGATGCAGGAAAACTATCCATTGTCAAAGCCAGCGTAGGCCTAGAGTCTCTGGGTTCTTGTCTCATGAACTCAAAGAATGAATTCAGAGATCAAGGGCAAGTGAGTTTCAAAAGGAAACTTTATTATAGAATTATAGATAAGAGCTTAAGAGAAAGACGAGGGAGCTTCTGTTAACAGACGTGGGTCCTCAGAAACGGGGAACCACTGAGTTGTTAGAAGCATTTCATGGGACCTGAGGCAGACACTGGGGTGAGGTATGGAGCAGGGAAGCAGGGGAGATGGTTCATTCAGTCTGCTCATCCTCGAGTTATTCCAGTGCCTCTCAGTTTCCATCCTGATTCGCATGTAACTTCTGGTCAGAGGTGTTGATTTGTGATACATCAGAGCTCCCTTACAGAATGTCTAGCTTTTGACCATAATGGAACTGTTGGTAGGACCAAGGACCTTTCTGACTGCTAACACAGGACCAGAGGTAAAACTTTGCTTTTTTGCATTTCTACCCTAAAGTCGACATAAATTACCCTAAATTACAATCAGTTTGTTTCTCTTTTTCAAATAAAATTCTTTAATTATTTTTCTTAAAACTGAATCATTCAACAAACTTTATGTTCAGCTAAGTGTAGGTATTTTAAGTTATCATTAACTAAAATGTGGAAAAAAATGTACATATGTTTTCAACACACAATTATACATCAAAGACAAAAAAATCTTATCATGAACTAACAAAGATCAGAAAGAAGGTGAAAAACTAAACACCCTTGGACAAGAGAAATAAATGTGAGAAATGGCTGTGCCTAAGAGAAGGAGTGTACTCAGCTCCAAATCCCAGCCTGGGGACCAGGTCCATGCGTCCTCTGGAAATCGGTTGTAATTTGAAAAGCTGACCTTCCTCGGCCTTTGTATTCTCATTAATTCTCCTGTTTCCAGACAGCTGCCAAGATTCCATAACCCTCAATCTCAACAAAAACTCATAGAGAAACAGATGAATAACAACAAAAGCTCATCCTAACCATTGACTGGAGTAGGGCTGGTGCGACTGGACTTCCTGTCAGAGCTTGTGGGCGACCACACAGACTGTCTCTCAAGTTCTTAGGAAACTTCACAGAGGGTTTCAATACTCTCAGAACTTTCAGAATCACATGGTAGCACGATGCCTCTCAGGTTCCATGCTTACTCAGCTTCTGAACAAAATTATCACCATATATCACGATGAAAAACAAACTTTGTTTTTCCAAAACAAGGCATGCGCCTAGTTCAGCCTCAAGCAAAATTACCTGTGACAAGGAGCTCGGGTACAGCCCATTGTCACACCCACTCTGTTTGTTAGCCACAGCTCCAAATATTGACCTGTGATTTCAAGGTCTTTAACATGCTGGATATTAGGCAATGTGTGATACTTTACTTTCTCCATTCCCAATGAAAATACTTCTTGTGAGCTGTTTTGATTCCTTGGACTTCTTCAATTGAACTTGTCAAAACACTACCTTTTTGCATTTAGTACCCATATTCTCTTTAGCAATATATTGAGTAAGTCAGATTTTATGAGATGGAGTCAGGGAGATGAAGACTGTAGCAAATGATATGAAATCATATGAACTTGACTAAAATAAAGTTGAGGTAGAAATGCTTATTTTATTGTTTGAAGCCATGTCATGTGATCTCTGGAGTAAATATCTAGCATTTACATTCACTACGAAAGTAGCTCCACAATTGTCTGGGGGCACCTCAGAGCCCCCTTTACAGACACATGTATTCAATGCTATGCCCTCACTACCAGGTATCTACCGCAGCAGAAAATGCAGCTTAGCCAGAGTAGCTCTGAGAATGTCACCACAATCAGTTCCCCACAACCGCAGTGGAAGCTGTGGATGCTTCTAACCAAGCAAGGATGGAGCGGCTCTAGCAGAGCTTTTAAAACACAAGCCCAGGATTAATCTAAAAATACAAATGGCAGCAACATTGTCTTCATTTAAAGTATTTTAGAAATGAGTCTTTAATTATTATTGAAGGTGTTTTGTTGTTCATTTGACACAGTCACATAGTGTTCCTGAGCTTTATTCATAACAGTAGATGGAAAAATACTGTATTACAGTTCCATGTGTCTGGATGTCCATAAATACACTTTTCTTTGAAGCATTCATCCTACTATTTTACCTCAAGACACCCTAGAAACTGGCAAGACAACATTAGTGGGGGTTAAGTTAAAACACATAGCAGGAAGCAAAAGCCACTGAGGTTGCAGAAGTGACTTTACATACCCATGAAACGATGCTAATTTATATGTACTTCCTCTGATGCGCAGTTGTTGTTATCGTTGTTAACCAAAGAGCAGAAGTTTATGAGCTGCCTGACACAGCTGCTGAGGTCCAGACTCTCTTAATCAGTGATCCAGCCTCTCAGTCCTACCATCAGATTTTAATTATAAACTTCTGGGGTAGAATTTAGAAAAAAAAATACCTTTTGTAACGTGCTTCAGGGTGACAGCAATGTAGCTATTTGTGTATAGTATCTGAAGAAATACGTCAGCATGGGCAGACATGAGCTTTTGCAGTGTGGTTAACACATTAGAAGGCTACTTAGATGGAGAAAAGGATGAAGAGAAACAATACCCAACCCCTTCCTCCATCTGTCTGTAGAATATACCCTCCAAGTCCAAGGGTACTCTGGTGACGACTTAATCACATTCAGACCTCAGGAAGCCACCACGCCTGTGCAGAGGCACACTTTGCTTTGGAAGCTCCAGAACAAGAGCAGCCCAGCACTCACGTTAGCTTGGATGATGACGTAGTAGCGAGTCTTGTCCTCATAGTTGAGTCGTTTCCTCAGCACCACATTTCCGGTTAGCATGAGTGGGATTTCAAAGGTGTCGTTGGATGTCTGCAAATGTTAAAGAGACACACTTCAGACCAGTCACGTAGATGAGCGGTGTAGGCTGCTATTATGGTTAAGTCCTCTCCAACATTGGAGTTGGCAGGTGTAAAGTTTGAGAAGAAAGCATGAGTGTTAACTTCAGAGTTAACATTCTTACTTCTCAAAGTGATTGAGGGCTATCAACGAATTTCCTCAGAGTCCTTCAAATATGATGACTTTCCATAGCTTTTCATGCATTATTTGGTACATTCATCCACAGACCTAGACTGGTTCTTATCCAACTCTATTCATATGAGAAAAACTTACCTTATTGTCTTTAATTATCTTTACCATTTGGTTTTGCACAAAAGAGTTCAAACATTTCCAATTTATAATTTCTACTGAACTTCACTTTTCAACACTAGTATTTACTTTGTATTCTTAGTATTTTTTCCCTTTGAAAAAGGGTTTATTATTATAAACTAATAAGGGAGCCAGTGAGATGCCTTGGCAGGTAAATGCTGATAGTCACACCTGGAGACCAGAGACGGCTCATTTGAACTCACATGATTCACATGAAACATGGTAGAAGAAGAGAGCTGATTTCCTCAAGTCTCTCATTCACTTACACACACACACACACACACACACACACACACACACACATACACTCACACATACACACTCACACATACACACACATATGTGACCCCATACATGCATATACACATGTATGCACATGTTATTGATGCAACAAAAATAGATCTAAAGAGAAAAATTAAGGAGATGACTCAGAGGGTAAGGGTTCTTGCTGCCAAGTCAAGCCTTAGGACCTGATTTAACGCCTGGAAGCTGGATGCTGAAAAGAGAGAACTTAGGCTGTTTTCTGATTCACATGCACACACAAAACAAATAAATAAAAAACGTAATTATGAAATCATTGAAATAAAATAATCTTGGATGGGTTAATGTGTTAGACTTTGCAGTGTCTGTCTGTGCCCTGAGCTTTTCCCAACAGAAACATACAGGGAGAAGGATAGCTTCCAAGAATGTTCGGGATCCCTGCTCTGTTCATTAGCTTTCACAGCTAAGTTCATTCAAGTTCCAGGAGAGGAGAACTTCACAGGTTAGGGTCTTAGCCTTAAAAGCCGTCTGGGCTCCCGTTTGCTTGTCACTGTGGAGAAGGGTTGATGATGACCTCAGGAACTATATCAGCTCCCTCTATTTCCACCTCTGCAACTGATCATCAGGAACTTGGTTTGTGACTCTGTGTTGAGCAGTTGCTTCCATACAGATTAATGCACCAGCTTCTGCAAGGAGAGTCAGCCTATCAGGACCCAAGAACCTCACAAGAGTTTTACAAGACTAAACGGGCCTGCCCAGAGTCTGCCTAAGCAGCAAATAGGTAGTAGGAAAGGAGACTCATCCAGGGTGTCACTCCTGCAGGTGGGGAACTCAGCTCCGGTTTTGTGGCTTTCCTGAATCCTCATCCATGCTGGGGGACTTATCAGAGATGCGGATGCTCCAATCAGCCATGCTCTTATAAATTACCCCTCACATATTCAACATGATAAATTCACCAAAACGATCTTGAGTGAAGTCATTTGGTTGGCCCGTGATTGGCCTGTTAGTGCTGAGTCTAAATAAATTCCTCAGGAGAGCTCACATGTGAGCAAGGGATGGGTTATTTGGCTTGGGGCAATGATAGAATGAATATTCCAAAGGAAAGGTAGAAGAGGAAGAGGATGAGTTGATTAGGAGAAAGAAAAGGAGGAAGAGGAAGGGAACAGGAAATTTTTCTCTCAACTCAGCATCAATGTATTCATATTTCACTGCAGCAGTGACCTAAGTCTTACTAGTATTGCAAAATATGCTAAAAATATATTAATGTGTTAGTATAAAGGTATTATATTTTAGCAACTCCATAGTTATAGAAATAAGCTTTTAGTAAAGATGGACTTATACACACATATACACATATATGCATAAATATGTATGCATACACATATATAATGCATACACATTCACACATACACACATACACAATACATTCACATTCACACCCATATATATATATATGCACAGACTCATAAACACACACACACACACACACACACACACACACACACACACGTCAGATGCTTGACCTAAAAGCCTTCTCATCCAGGGACTCACAATTCAAAGCCTAGCTTTTCTACTTCTTTGTGCTAGGGAGGTGAGACTGTAAGGAGATTGACCAATAAAATCAAACCATGGTAATGTCATTTTTTAAATGATGATTTTTGTTTTTTTGTTTTTTATATGCCACTCAATCCTGGGCAAAGCAGAAGACTTTCTCTTAATTAGAAAGAGTGATAAAGGAACAAATTCCCTCTCCTGTTTTTGGATGTTGTCAGATGAGACCTGAATGTCCACAGCCAATTAGTGAGTATTACTAGATTACTGAAACTATTTAGAAGTTGCTAACATGCTAACAAAGTCTGAGGAGAGTGAAATGTGGGGTCCAGGTTTTGTCTGTGAGGTTTTAGACATGTCCAGATGTTTGTCCCACCTTTGAGAGACAATGAATCATGTTTTGGGTTGGACATCTTTATTTCGGGTTTCTAACTTCCACAACTGGAAGCCTCATGGCCCTTGCTGATTTCTGTCTCTGGCTGTGTATTGCGGTCTGCGGATCTTTCCATGTGTACCGTGGCTCCCTTTGCTTGCCATCTGCCCCTGTTTTTTAAAAGTACCTAAGCAATATATCCCTTGTTTCCCTGCATAGTTAAGTTTCTGATAACCTACTCTCTGTCTTCTTATTTCAGATTAAGAATTTAATGTGATGATATATTATTGTTCTTCACAAACAAAGCATTTGTATTTTTGCTTACCTCACAGGTTCTTCACGGCCCAAGCCTGAGATAGCAATATTTCTATGAATGTAACAAATAATATCTGTATCCCCCCCAATATTGTTACTAACAGTTTTTATTAAATTTTTTTAGAGTTTTTACAACGACATTAGTAGTCATATTATTACCCTTAAAAGGACTTTTCAATTGAATTTATTTCCTATAGCTGTATCTAACTATCACATATATGATATTTTTTCTTTTTATTTGTTTTATAAATACTTATGTCTCAAAAACAAAAGGGAATGTATATGCTTTATAATCAAGCTAGGTTTGAGTGGCTGGGACACTTCTCTACTGAAGTCAAAATTGTTTAATTAAACAAGGAGTTTTGAGTATAAATTTGCTTTCTAAATTTCAGAATTCTGATAAAAGTTTCAGAAACAAAATATAGGCTGAATATTCAGGACACTCTTTCCTCTTTTTTCCTTTCATTTAGAAGTATATTTGACTAAATTATCTCTAATTAGTCTTAATAAGTGAGATTTTTGTAAGCAAACACTGTTTGTTTGAATTCTTACAAATGGGCTGTGAGGGAACTCGGCACACAAACCCAGCTTCCCGCGCCTGAGGAAGATGGAAGAGGTGGACGTCACACCTCAGTGTCTGGTATCCACCAACCTGAGTGTCATGAAACTTCATGTGACCCATTCAATGAAGATAGACATGGATAAGAAATTACATGAGAAACAGTGAGCATGAAGGTGACAGGTGTGACCCTCATGGCACTTTGCTCAGAGGCTTGGCCCACAAAGAATTTTGGAGATGGAAAAACACCCGATCCAAGGCAGTATTCTAATTGTGAGGCAAAGCCACTGCCTGTCTGGGTGTTTTGGAGACTTCTTTGTAAGCACAAAAGGATGTTGCTTTTCTTAGTGTTGGAGACTTCAATGTTTTCCTCCCACTCTGTACTAAAGAAGAAAAACTTGCTGCTGAAAAATCTATTATTTCCTCCTGGTTCAAAACATCTGTCCAGCGTTCACAGAGGAACACGCACAAGTACCTGGAAATGCAGTAACTTCACAGTTATCAGACAAGAGGTCATCCTCCATTTAAGATAGGTCAAACAATTATGTCAGATACCCAAGGTGGCAGGAAGGACAGGTAGAATTCTCAGCCCATGTATATACACCGCCCCACAACAAGGGAGGGAGAGGGCTACTGTTATTCTGGAAACTCTAATCCCAGGGCTGACCCAACCCCATGAACTTAAATGTCATGGCAGCTGAGCTGGTATCTTCATAGAGACAGATATTCTGGAGGCAGGAAGTAGCTAACCTTCCTCAGTCCCCTGATTAGAACTCTGGCCATTTATCCATTCTAAAGATAAATAATAGATTATATGCAGATCTCACACCTGTTCGATATTTAGAAATATTGTTGTATCTCCATTTGTATTTATGTTAAAAATACAGAAGGAACACCTCCACAAAGTCAGGGACACACACATGCACATAGGTCCCCTTGAGAGCCGCTCAGCACAGGTGTGCCTAGGAGGACCAGTGATTCAAGAGCGGCGGAAGGCAGAAAATAGCCTGTCACTCAGAAGCGCTTTCTCACAAACCTCACAAATGTTTTGAAAGCTCTCTACCCAACCCAGTGTCATCACTGTTCCTGTTCCCATCTTCTTCCCCTCTCATCCATATGATTCTTTCAACATTCCCCATTTGCTCACTTGGAGTATAGCTGACCTTATCATTGAGTGCCAATGGACATTAGCAACTGGTTTCTACTCAGCCTCCATTCATTATTTCCCACATCTCTGAATAAGGCAGACCACTGCCGTGGCACAATGGTCTTTTATCCTGCCACTTGTATTATTTATAAGAAAATGCTGATTGGCCGGTAGCTAGGAAGGAAGTAGAGGCGGAGGGGGGGATGAGAACAGGAGAATTCTGGGAAGGGAAAAGCTCAGTCTGCAGGCATCACCTTGACCTAGAGGATGCAGATGAGAATGCCTCGCTGATGAAAGGCACCAAGCCACGTGGCTAACATAGACAAGAATTAAGGGTTAAGATGTAAGAATTAATTAATAAGAAGCCTGAGATAACAGGCCAAACAGTTTATGATTAATGTAGATTTCTGTGGTGCCTGAACTGGCCTTGGCCCATAACCATACTGATGAATATTTTG